GTGTGTGTGTGTGTGTGTGTGTGTGTGTGTGTGTGTGAAAAACAACAATTTGAAGCCGTATTAAAATTATTGTTTTTATGCTTAAACCCTTTTTTGTCTTTGATCCACATACATACACAAAACATAAACCAAATTACAGAGCTGACATTCTCCAGATGTTTTCTAGATGTTTTGACAGAACACTGTCATGTTTAGCATCTATATTAATTACTTGGCAGTTTATTGTGATAATTTAAGTAGTAAATGCAATTATAAGTTGCTTTGGTAGTCGCCACATTTTGTATGTATTTTCCCCCACATTCTGTTTTTTTGTTTTGATTTAGTTTTTTGTTTTAAGGTCCGTTTTAATGGTTACATTAAATTTTAGTAATCAAAAAGCATATCTAATTAACTGAATTAATGAAACATATACAATTTAACAACAATTTATTCAAAGTTTAACAAAAAGTATCGTTTTAGGGCCCAGTGAAATTCATTTAATTTTTTCTCAGTTTTTTTTCTAGATTCAGTTTTAATGGTTTAATTACATTTTAATATCCAAGTGTGTCTAATCAATTGAATTGGTAAAAGTTTAACAATGTAATAATTTATTAAAATATGTAAAATAATGGGGCCCTATGAATTTTTTTTTTCTTTTTCAGAAATTCTGTGTTGTCTCTTTTTTTACCCCCTGGATTTATGATTTAATACAAATGTATTACCAGTGGTAATTACATGAAAGCATAAAGTATTATTCAATCATTATTTTAAAATGTAATCAAATTGAAACATTAACAAATTAAAACATGGACAAAAATTATTATTATTAATTACTACTACTACTTTGAGAAGTAAATTCTTCTGTACAATGTTAATATATTTCTGCCACAGTTACTTAAAATTAAACCAAACTTGATATTTTGACGAGTTTCCATGACGACATTTGAGTTTCTGTGTATATATGATATAGCAATAGTTTTTATCAAATGAAAACAACTTTGTTGCATCAGCAGCAATCGAGGTCATTCATTATATCGTGATTGGCTGTGATTGTGTTGCATCTTGCAGCATTCTGTCTTTTCGCGAGGACAGAAAAAGGATTAGTCTCTGGAAACTTGCTGCATCATGTCTGAAGGATATGGTGAAACTGTTATTTGATGATTTTTGGTGTTGTTACGGTTACTGGTTGCAGTACGGAGCTCATTTCTTTATTTCATCAAACGCTGTAATGCATTTGCATGTTCATTTGCGTAATGCATTTGATGCACATGCATGTTGAATTATTTGAGTAAGCGTAGTTGTAAATCAAATAATAATTAAATAAATTACCAGAAGGATGATTTCCTCTCCTCCTGCTTTATTCTCTCTCTCTCTCTCTCTCTCTCTCTCTGTCTCTGTCTCTGACTGGTTCATGCAGATCAATACTCCACACTTAGTCTTGATTAACTCTCTTCTTCTGAAGACATGCGTGTTTTATCATTCACACACGGGCTCTGTTTCAGATCCCACAGAGCTCCCTAACTAGACAGAATCGTAGCCTTTGCTGCCTTCTAAGATTCCTCTTTTTTTTTTTTTTAGTTTTTTTTTTAAAGGTCCCATGGCATGAAAATTTCACTTTATGAGGTTTTTTAACATTAATATGAGTTCCCCTAGCCTGCCTATGGTCCCCCAGTGGCTAGAAATGGCGATAGGTGTAAACCGAGCCCTGGGTATCCTGCTTTGCCTTTGAGAAAATGAAAGCTCAGATGGCCCAATCTGGAATCTTCCCTTTATGTCGTCATACGGGGAAAGGTTACCTCCCCTTTCTCTGCTTTGCCCGCCCAGAGAATTTGGCCCGCCCATGAGAAAATGAGCTACTACCGTGCGAGGTGAGCGCAATATTTTTTTTTCCTCGAGAGACATCATGGCTTGCAAACGAGCGAAGCATGGCAGTTGCCCCGCCTCTCTCCTCCTCATTAGCATTTAAAGCTACAGACACAGAAATGGCACGTCCTAAGGAAAGCTCATTGTGGGACTGGCTCGTAGTGGCTGAAATTCTGCACCAAGGCTGAATTTCGGGAAAGAGACTTCAGATACAGTACTAGGGACCACTTAGGCCTATATAAAAGCGTCCAAAAAGCAGCATGTCATGGGACCTTTAAAGTCTAAAGGAAGCATTGCACATATCCTGCATTGATATGACAATTCCAGAATGCATTGTACAGTAGCAAAATCATGGCAAAAAATTTGAGACTAATGCTGTTTACAACTGCAAATTTAAATATTTACACATTGAGAACCGATTTAAAATCAGGTTCAGGAAAGAAGGATGGTGTGCTGGAATTCAGTGAAGTTTCACGAGTCTTTTTCAGGTTGTCACATAAAAAAAAAACGTTATGATTCTTATAGGTAGTTGAAGGCAGTCTAGCATGTCGTGTAGACTATAAATATACTTGTAGGTCTATTTTTATAGTTATTCAATAGTTGTTATATAATATTTAAAGGGGGGGTCTAATGCTATTTCATGCATTCTGACTTATTTACACTGTTAAATAGTTGGATTCTCATGCTAAACATGTTTCAAAAAAACGAGTTGGACGTATGACGGAGTATTTCTGTGCCAAATACACTCCTTCAGGAATCGTATAAGCTTCGGAAAGTTTTTTTTCCGAGTATGGCCCTGCATGACATCCTAAAGGGCAGAATTCCTTGTAAGGGCGCGCACATCAACCTGGGCTGCGTTTCCCGTACAACGACATAACTCGCTGATTAACCACCATAATACGATGCATTGTTGTGGAAACAAACTAGTCAAATTCTAAAGCAACATACTTTTATTCTTTGTAATGAATTCCAGTGAAAAACATTTGAGCTGAGAGAAGTAACTACACATACGTTTCATGAAAAACTAGAAAGGACAGATTCAAATAAGTGTGCAGTTTCTGTAGGTAGTTTGCCGTGTCTGGAGGTTAGTTTGAGTTAGTATGCACCGTGTGTCGGCAGCTCACTAGCTTCAGCAGCAGGTAATGAACAGCGAGGCTCAGAAACGACTCCTCACAGCCACAGCGAGACGCTTTGAAATAAATCAATAGTAATGTTGACTATAAATATACTTGTATGTCTATTAGATTCAATATTTGTAGTATTTATTTATTATTAATTCTATAATATATAATGTTTAATATATACTTTATATATGTATATATAAAATATTTAATATAAAATATTTTTATTTTTTTGCTAATATTACAAATATTTTAAATAAATAAATTTAATATTTCGTTTTATTTAATGTGAACAGTCCTTTCCTATTACATTGCATTTAATCATTCAATATTTGTTATAGTTATTTAATATTTATTA